TACACTCTTTCCATGGTTGCCCTCTGTGGTTGTAATGCAACTATTAGCTGAATGTACTATCAATAAAATCCTGGGTCACAAGTACTCATCTTAATATTAAAAAAAAAAAAAAAAGACTAATACTTGTAATCAAAATAACTCTTAAACTGTTATAATTTTATAAAGTTTATACAACTCCAATACTTCTTTTTATAATCTTATTAGTACTTTGTATACTCTTACAAGTTCTCTTATTCTATCAATCCAATAAGCTTTGTATAATATAACTTCATATTTGGTTCAATTAGTAACTAGGTTGATAAACCTCTTTATCTAAAGTTCTTGTTTATACAGATCACTTGCTTTAAGTTTCTATCTTTAGATCAAGATTTTCACAAATAATATCAACAAAAATTATACTACTTTTCTACTTAGAATTTCCAAACAGAACTTCTTATAGAATATATATTTTTTGAATTTATTTGTATAATATTACACACTTTCAAAGTTAATCTTGATACAACCAGAATTACAAAGTTACAATCTCAGATATCTTAAACAAATTGTTAAAATAAAACCATTTTTTAAATTTCTATCACCAGTAGGATTTGAACTCTGAACCTGTACTTTCAGAGATCAAAATTTTGGTAAATAAGAGTTATAAATTAAATAAATTAAATAATGCAATATTGCTAGCTGTGATATGTAAGTTACATGAAATTTGATATACTATGTATTGTAAAATTGTAAAATGTAATTTTCAACTCTATTGGGGTCCTCCAACAGCACCAGAGCATAGGAACTGATGGTCGACTCCATGAAGTCGTGTTTTAATATAGACTCGGTCCCGAATCATACTTGGGAGATATCATACGTAGTACGTACATATTCAATTACGATTATACACTATAAATAGCTTTTCTTAACGGAAATTTTTTGGTCGCGTGACGTTACACCAAATCAAGATTCTTTATTGGCCAATTTTTTGTAGATTATCAGTAATTTTGTTGGCGATCTTGGGGTAGTTTGCTAATCCAAGTAACTTAAAAAGCACAATAAACAATTTAAGGCAATTAATTGGCAGACAACTAGTTTAAACGGGTTTGACTTAAATGATAACGGGTTGACTCCCGATATAGTTCCATCTAAATTAACATCCGTAAACACTAGTGCGTTACAACAAAATGATAGAATTCTTATAAAGCTTTTTTTATGCAAGGATAAAAACAAATTACCGTATGAGTGTGGTCAAGGAAAAACTTGTCATCAGGCTTTCAATTATATTTCGTTTCGGCAAAAGCAGATGATAAGACTATATAATATATAGTTCTATCACCTGCTTTTACTATGGGTGCCTCCATATATTAAACACCCGATTAGTGACGCATTATACACTACATATAATATGTGCTGATAAGATTCTTAATGAATAAGTTCTGAAGTCCGGAATGAAATATGATTAAAAGCCCAATGACGTTTCCCTCAATTTTCAGGGGAATTTACAAATAAGGACCAAAAATGAAAATAATTACAAATAAGAGCTCAAAATGAAAAAATAAGGGCCCAAATATATCGCCAAAATTGCTAGCCGATTTAATCATAACGGTATCATGGTTAATTGTCTTAGAGTTATCGTGTCTCTATAGTCACTTCTATAAGCTCAGTTGCTTATAATCACAAACTTTTAAACCAACTCATACGTATAATGCATATAAAATTTATATAAGCACAAAATTCTTGATGCAAAATAAAAAATTAGCTTTGTGTTTACTTCTCCAGGCTACCATGTAGGATGTCTCGGTCCCCAATTTTAGAACGAACATGATTTCCAATATAACAAGGTCGAAGTATTGCTATATCTCATGCTTTGAATATATCCATAAAAGTTGACAAGTTGGATCATCTTTACGCTTGTGCATAAGCTGGTTTCATTTGTAAAACAAATAGTCAACAGAATTCAACAGAATAACTGTCCAAGACCAAATTAACATTTTTCAAGTTTGAAAAAGTTATACTGATCTGTAACTTTGTATCTAGCATTTATCCGACATTTCATATGATCACGTAAATTTTTTTGCTATGATATTTTTTGCATGAAATTACGTAATCAGTTTTGCAAAATATCACGGAAAAAACTTCACATGGTCATATTAACTATCGGATAACATCATACGTACGACAAATAACAGGAAAATTTTTTGTCGTTTGCCTGATATTGTATACTTATGAACAAGAATTTCAATGAAATAAATTTACAGCATGAATAATGGGCTGACAAATCGAACGTACTTTTTTTATTGTGCATTGGAATTTATATTCGAATTACTAATTGATTATTATCGAAACGGGGTTAAATTATAGGTTTTTAAGCGTATAATTATTTTGGTAATAATTTTCAAATATCGAGCCTCTGTAATTATTTTCATTTTGGGCCCTTATTTGTAATTATTTTCATTTTGGGCCTTATTTGTAATTATTTTCATTTATCTGTAAATTCCCCTAAGTTTTATAAAAAAAGTTACCCGACCTTAGAATGGATAATTTATATAATTGTTATTTACTAAAATTAATTTCTGAATGATTACAAAATAACTATTCATTTAGTGCATAAGTGTTTAACCTATCTCTTCAAAATCAGCTTAATGTCAGCTGATATTTATCAATCTAGGATAGATTTCTTGCATGCATTAAAAATTCCAATCCTGCATAAATAAATAATCTCGGTTATTGTGATGTTGGGAAAAAGCATGTCAATCTGCATTAATCCAACCAATCAGAGTATTGATTTTAGCTTACGTTAATTCTTTAAAATGTTGTGTTCAAATTCCATAAAAAAAATTGCCCATTTGTAAAAAACCATCTGGTTACTAAAAAAGGTTTATCGGTATTGTTGTAATCAATATAAATAGGTTAGAGAAGTTCATACATAGATATAAGAATATGGCGAAGATAATAGACGGAAAAGCTATCGCAAAGTAAATGTAAAGAATATATCATAATTATTATAACAGAATATAATGATAGAACTTACGGTTTTCAAACGAATTTGAATTAAATGTAGATCCATTCGAGAAAAAATACGTGATGAAGTTTATCAATTGAAACAAAAATATTCTAGTTTTAATCCTCGACTTGCAATTGTTCAGGTTGGAAATAGGGAAGATTCTACTGCATATGTGAGACAGAAAGAACAAGCCGCCAAAGAGGTACAGTAATTCATCATTCACGTGATCCGATGATCATCTTTCAATATATGTTGCAATAATCGGACTTGATATTCTTCTAGGTTGGAATTGATTTTATTTTACAAAAAAAAGACGATTCAATTGCAACGGACGAGGTGCCAACTTACTATATGTCTCTAATTTCCTTCTGCCCAATTGTTAAGTACTAATACGAAATTATCACGAATAGCTTTTGAGATTGGTTCATGAATTAAACTATGATCCATCTATTAATGGCATATTGGTTCAACTTCCTTTACCGGAACATATCGATGAGAAATGTATTGTTGAAGCTATTGATCCAAAAAAAGATGTCGATGGGTAATCTAATCCTACATCATTTATATTCTTGTTTTTGCATAGCATGAACTCTATTTTACTGATTAGCTTATTAAATCACTCTAGATTTCATGCATATAATATCGGTAGGCTGGCCAAAAGAAATTGCGATCCTCTATTTTTACCATGTACTCCCAAAGGAATCATCGAATTGCTGAATCAAACTGGTATGAATTATACCATTTATAAATGAAATTGCCATTGGTTCATGTTAATTGTTAATTAATAGAAACATTATATATTGACATTAGGAATTATGATTTCAAGTAAGCGCGCAGTTGTGGTCGGCCGTAGTGATATTGTGGTAAATAAGTTTTTTTTTTTTTGTCATTATAGTTTATATTATAACAGAATATTCCATAATTCTTTGTTTAAATATTTGCATTCCTAGGGATTTCCCATATTTACATTATTATCAAAAAGAAATGCTACGGTTACATTGTGTCATTCAAAGACGGCCAACCTTCCCGAGATTGTATGCTTCTTTTTTTTTTGCGTATCAAAAATTTACTTCCGTTTATTTATCATTGACAATGGTCAAAATCTTTAATTTTTAGGTCAAAACAGCTGAAATCCTAGTGGCGGCTATTGGAAAAGCAGAATTCATAAAGGGTGATTGGATAAGTCCTGGTGCTGTAGTCATTGATGTTGGAACCAATTCGATTAAAGGTAGTTAAAAATCTGTTCTCTATAATTATCCGGATTATTGACTGATTATTTATCTGTCTTATTAGATTCCACAAAAAAATCAGGCTTTCGATGGGTAGGCGACGTAGAATTTTCATCCGCCTCCGCAGTAGCGTCACATATAACACCAGTTCCTGGTGGTGTAGGTCCGATGACAGTTGCAATGTTATTACAAAACACAGTGGAAGGTGCAAAAAGGTTTCTGAAAGAAAGTAACGAACGTAAGATATCCACGTTGGCCTTGAAACGAGTTGTACCTGTTCCAAGCGATATCGATATTGCAACTTCACAAACACCTAAACTTATTAAAGTTCTTGCTGAAGAATTGGGACTGGCCCCAAATGAAGTAAGACTTTTATTATAATGAAAAATAATTCATATCATAATTATGTGTTAAACTGGTCCTTCTTTAGTTTGACTTATATGGGCAATACAAAGCCAAAGTAAGTCTTTCAGTTATTGAAAGATTGAAATCGCGAAAAAATGGTAAATATGTTGTGGTAACTGGGTACGTACAAGTTATTTCATTTTTTATAAAGTTTAATTGTTAATGTTATTAACTATATTATTAAAATATTTGTAGCATAACACCAACACCATTAGGTGAAGGAAAATCTACAACTACCGTTGGTATAGCACAAGCATTAGGTGCGCATTTGGGAAAGCTTTCGTTCGCATGTGTTAGGCAACCTTCACAAGGACCGACATTTGGCATCAAAGGAGGTGCAGCTGGTGGTGGATATGCTCAAGTCATACCAATGGACGAATTCAATTTACATTTAACAGGAGATATACATGCTGTTACCGCGGCAAATAACCTATTAGGTAGTTTAATGTTTATGTTGCCCGTGGTCATTTTACAACTAAATTTAAAGGTTTGAAATTCTTTCTTAGCTGCTGCAATTGACACACGAATGTTTCATGAAAATACTCAGACAGATAAGGTAATATGAAAACTAGTTTGTATATTGAATTTATCAAATTACCTTTTTTTTTTTTTTAATATTTATATCTTTCATTATTTAGGCTCTTTTCAATCGTTTATGCCCCGCTAAAAATGGCGTCCGTGCCTTTGCCCCTGTAATGTTGAAGCGATTACAAAAGCTTGGAATTGATAAGACCGATCCTAATGATTTAACTCCTGAAGAGATTATCAAGTTTGTTAGACTAGACATTGATCCTGAGACTATTACATGGTTTGTTATATAAATTTTATATATATATTATGGTCCGAAGGACATCATAAGCAGAAATATGGTGCAAATTACAGATTTTGATTGGCCAATCGGATCGATCCATGTTGATTACTTAGTTTAATTAATCAATTAAATTCCTTCGGTTTCCATTTACCTAATAATATATTAACACTATATATTAATCGGATACTAAAATGATATAGGCAAAGAGTAATTGACACAAATGATCGATTCTTACGACGCATTACTATAGGGCAAAATTCAACAGAAAAAGGTCAAACACGTTCGACAGGTTTTGACATTTCGGTTGCATCTGAATGTATGGCAGTGCTCGCATTAAGTACGTCTCTTGAAGACTTGCGAGAAAGATTAGGTAGAATGGTAGTTGCTACAAATAAAGCTGGTGATTCTTCTATAACAGCAGATGACCTTGGTATAGGAGGTGCATTAACAGTATTAATGAAAGATGCTATCAAACCAAACCTTATGCAGACGTTAGAAGGAACACCCGTTTTCGTTCATGCTGGTCCATTTGCAAATATTGCGCACGGAAATAGTTCTATATTAGCTGATAAGGTTGCATTGAAATTGGCAGGAGTTGAGTGCGATGCGGAAGGTAATCCAATGGAAGGATGCGAAGAAGGTTATGTGATAACAGAAGCAGGATTTGGGGCTGATATTGGAATGGAAAAATTCTTTAATATCAAATGCAGACTATCAGGGTTGGTACCTGATTGTGTTGTTATGGTTTCTACAGTCAGAGCTTTGAAAATGCACGGTGGTGGGCCTGAAGTGAGTATTGTAAATGTGTATCTTGATTTAGAAGTACCTTATAACGCACATTATAGTACCTCGGGTATATACAGCCGGGTGCTTTATATATTAGAGGATATAATAATCGGAATGGGAGACAAATCATGAGATACTATAATAGAAACCATATACAAATCAAACATTTAGTCATCTTTTATGATTGACCATATGAATGCCGCGGGCTTTCAATTATATTTTTGCATCGGGCACAATCCCTAACAAATTAGACTGATTATTCTCGATGCAAAATATAATTGAAAGCCCGATGGTAGGTTTTCCCTTGGCAACCTTCATATGTTATATATTGATTGTTTTAGATTACATGACTAGTATAATACCTGGGTACTATTGGTTTTTGGTACTTTTCACTGGTGATGCTATAATGTGTAGGGAATTTAAATCCTAAACTACAAGTTTAGGTTAGCGACATAAAACCTAAATTAACTTGTACCTCTAATAATGTGTAATAGAGTACATGTTGATATTGTAAATTTTTATTTTGTAGGTTACACCTGGAAGTCCATTACATGAAACTTATTTAAGCGAAAATCTTGATTTATTAGAAAAAGGATGTGTTAATCTTGTTAAGCACATCAAAAATGCAAAAAAATATGGGTTGCCAGTTGTAATTGCTATTAATACGTTCACGTGAGCCACTCTTCTTATCATACAATAATTCAATTTTATTTGTTTTTTTTATTTGTAACCTATTTTTTTTTGCCATGATCACGTTGGGAAAAGCGATCATTAAAGCGACAACCGATAAAGCAGAGAAGAGAGAATTTAGGTTTTTATACGATGTAAACAAACCAATTGTCGAAAAAATTGAAATTATTGCAAAAGAAATGTATGGAGCTGATGGAATAGAGTTGAGTGAGAAAGCTATTGAAAAAGTTGAGAGATACACTAAACAGGTGATTATCTTTTAAGAAATTACGGGATTCAATGAAAATATGACTAATTCTATATGGTATTTTAATAAATTTAATAAGGGATTTGCGAATTTACCAATATGCATGGCCAAAACGCATTTATCTCTTTCACATGATCCAAAACTTAAAGGTGTACCTACAGGATTTGTAGTACCGGTACGAGACATTCGAGCATCAGTTGGAGCAGGATTTTTATATCCATTGTTAGGGGAAATGCAGACCATGCCTGGATTATCTACTGTGAGTAATTAATGTATCTAGAAATTATAGATTTTTTATATTTATTGTGAATAACAATAATTTTTAACTTATGAACATTATAGCGACCGTGTTTCTTTGATGTCGATTTAGAACCAGAAACTGGTAGAATACACGGATTATTTTAATATATAATTTTATAGGCTACAAAACAATCGATTGTATTATATATCCTTTAAAATTTTTGTAAAAAAAAAAGATTAGCTAAATGACTGAACATGTCAGTTTAGGATTTTTGGCAATGCAGATATACCTTTCATGAATATTAAAACTATTTTCTGGACATATTTAGCATCAGCTGTATAGGGAAATTTTTTTTTGTTAAAAGTTAGAATATCTAGTATGACCTTCCTAAATCGATATGCATGGTGGTCAGTTTTTGTATCAGTTTTAAATATTAATAACCTATTAGCTATATAGTTATAAACAAATATGATTGATTAGATTTATTTTTTATATTTATAATGATTATACAAAATCTAATTTGAGTTAATCTAATCAGTTAATTTATTTGTCAAATTTGATATTTTATAGATATTTAATTTTTAAATATTAGTTATTAGGTTTGATTTATAAAACAGATATAAAAACTTAATTTTTTATTAGTTATTACAGGTTATTACTTTTGACAGAATTAGTTTTAAAAGGTTTGGCTGTTTAACAATTTTTATAACATGTATATTTACAAACAGTATTATTATATATTTAAAAAAATAATAAATATTAATTTTTAAAAATTGTTTTGTTTTAAAAAATGATAATAAAAAATATTAATTATAATTAATTTTTTTTTGGTATTAAGATAATCTTTTTTGTTTTTTGACTTTATTTATTTTTTTTTAGTATTAAGATGACTTTTTTGGTCTTAGCTTTTTATTAATACTTATATCAAGTACATGTTTTATATAGACATATTTATATTGAACTATCAAACAAGTGTACAACTGGCTATATGTATAATTTTTCTATATTACCTATTTAAGAAGTTTGTCTAAAAATTCTTCACCAGTTGTCATATCTAACATTTCTGCTTAAATGTTCTATTTAAACTCTTTGATCTGACTCTAGTATTAATTTTACTAAATTACAAACCCAGATCTATTTGTTTTAACCATAAGACTATAATTCTTAGACTATTTTTATCCTTGAGGCAAACCTACCAGAGTAAGTCATATTTTCTTTTTACTACTAACATGGTTTGATGCTATGATCAAGACCAACACTTGCAGTTAGAGTTACTCATTAAACTGCTATTACCTTTGTAAAGTTCACCCAAATTCTGATATTTATCTTTTTGACTTCTTTTCTATTATCTTTTACTAGTTACAACTCAGAACCAACAACAATCTCTTCAAACTTCCAATTTAGATAGCCCAGTATAATATACTTATGTATCTTTTTCCTTTAGTGATTCTAGCAGCCTGGTTGGTTATGTACTCCTCTACATATCTTGTTATCTAGTTTGTTTGATAGTTTCTATAAAAGTGTTTCATAAACTTCTATCAGTTCAACAGTATTATCAAAAGTTTATGCTATTTCTTTATTCAGGATTTCCAAGTGAGCTTCTGTCTTCTCAGTTTCTTAGTTTTTTTATATCTGATAGTCTTATTATGGGTTGCACTGAAAACTTATATGACATCAGTTTTTATATTCTTTTATATACATATAATGATACATTTTGCATAGATGCCTCAAGCTTCCAAAATCAGGTAGGTCCTAACCTGATATATCTAAAATTACAGATACATAAACTTAACTAATTAACAAAAAACAGTTACCATAATATAGATATAATTTTCAAAATTTATTATCTGTGAAAATTGAATCTTAGATCTGCCATTTGAGGATTAACAACTTATTCACTTCACTAGGTTATCATATCTCTGTTTTTTTTTGACTTTATTAATATTTATTTAAGTAATATGTTTATATAAAACTATTATAATAAAAGCATACAACTAGTTATATGTATAACTTTACTATATTACTTATTTAAGAAGTTTGTTAAAGATTTCTTACTAATTGTTATATTTAATATTTTTGCTTAGATGTTTTATTTTAAATCTTCTGATTTTGCAATTTTGTATTAACTTTATTGATTTACAAAAGTATTTATATTCAGATTTTTGTCTTAATCTTAGAACTAATTTATTCTTAAAATAAATCTTTTAAAGTTTTCTGTATTCTTATTTATAATTAATATGATATTATTTTGATTAAGATCAATATTTGTAGTTAGAACTAATTATTAAACTGCTATACTTTTATAAAGTTTATATAACTTTAATGCTTTTTTTTATAACCTTATTAGTAGTTTGTTTACTTTTACAAGTTTTCTTATATTGTTATAGAACGATTTATTATTATTTTATTAGTAGTTATTATTATTATTATTATATTATTATTATTATATTATT